AAAACCCCCTCCTCCTCCTCCTCCTCCTCGTCCTCCGCCGCCGCGATGTCGCGCCCCGGCGCGTGAGGCGCTGTCCCCACACAAAGGGCCGTTTGAGGCTCCCGCCGCTGCGGTCGGGGCCCGCGCTGGGCGCGCTCCCGCCAGATCCCGTCCCAGGCGGCGGAATGAAAGGTGGACATTGTCGGGGTCCTTTTAAAAAACCCCCTCATATGATGGGCCAGCTCCTGGAATATAAGTTATGCGATTGCTCTTTCTTGCTTTTTTTTTTTTTTTAAAGCAGGATGACAAGTATCTGCGTTCACTAATTGCGTGCTAGGAACCGGGCCCATTGCACCGTGTTCTGAATCTAACTAGTGTCTCAGCAGTTACTAGGGTTTTAGAAGAAGACTTTTAAAACTAAAGCTGTTTGCTGCTAAAATACAACTCCAGAATGTCTGACCAACACACACACACACACACAAAAACCCAACAAAAACCAACCAACCAACCAACCAAAAAAAAAACCAACCAAAAACCGGCTTTTTCTTCATACAGATTACGAACCAAGCTACACATACGGATGTCTGCACAGGCTTATTTCACTCCCCAGTCTTTATTTTTTCCTTCATGGAAGCCGTTTTAAATATAATTCTTTCCAGAAGGGGCTGTTGGGCGTTGGAATGGGCTGCCCAGGGAGGTGGTGGAGTCCCCATCCCCGGAGGGGTTTAAGAGTCGACATAGCGCTGAGGGATGTGGTGGAGTTGGGAACTGTCAGCTAATGGTTGGACTGGATGATCTTCAATGTCTTTTCCAACCTAGACGATTCTGTGATAAATAGCACCATCTTCTCTTTTGCCTTTTAGACTTGGACTCTAAAAAGTTTAAACTTGGGAATTCAAGGAGGCATCATGGTAACTGCTACTAGTAGACAGTAATTGTGGTCAGGCTGATGAGTAAACAGGGTGCTTCTCCGCTCATGTGGAAGCACTGAAGGGAGAGCAGGTTCAGAGCAGAGGAACTAATTCTGTAAGAGTGAACACTTCAACTCCAGTTACTGTACATAGTCCTGTAATGAACCAGGAGCTCACTGCCTGAAAACGCTCACGGCCTGAAAACACGAAACAAAAGCAGTCAGTAGGCAGGGGCGTGGGTTAGGGAGGCTTTCCGAAGCCTGGCCTAACTCTTGAAATGATAAAACACTGGAAGGGCTATTTAGCTTGTGAACACCGGGGAGACATGCCACATGAAGCAGCAGCTTGCCAAGCACAGGCATAGCATGAGAAAGAGCAGAGGAGGATGTGGGATCCAAGATTTCAGCACCCTGATAAACAACCAGCCTGGTCTGCAACCTCCATACCGAGGGTTATCGTTTTAGAACATTTCAGACGCACTGCCAGTGTGCCTGAGAAACAGGAAGCAGTTAGACCATAGCTATTCATGGAGCTTGTTAAATGTACAGTAACCGAAACGGGGTTTTAGTCAAGTACCTTTCACAAAGCTGTCCAATAAGTCACTAATGAGCACATTTGCTCAGTGATTTCTCATTAAATATAATGAACATCAGGTATACTATATCAGATTGCCCTGATTAATGAGGTTTTACTAAAATATGTTTCTGGTAACTTTTGTTATTACTGGATCATGGGTACATTCACTGGAAAAAAAATAAAGATTCAATTTTGGAATGCTGGACTTAACAGCATAAAATATTTTCACTGAATTTCTACTGGGAAATATTTTCTTCAATTCTGTTTTCTCTTATTAGAACAAACCAAGCCAACTTTGACCTTCTTTAATATCTGGTGCTACATTCAGATGTGGATCTCAAAAGTAATCCAGTTCCCTTTGGTGAGTGAACAAGTCCAGTACATCCAGCACTGCACCAAACATTTCCTTGTCCTTCGTATAAAAGCTTTAATTTGAAAGGGAGGTATTTTTCATGCTTGGCTCTGACCTTGCAACTCTCTCTGTTCAGACAGAATTCTGTGTCCAGGAAGAACCTGTGCAAAGTATGCTCTTTGTGGGGTCAGCTGCAGGACAAACACCTATTCAGCCTCTGTACTCTGCTGTTCTTTCCCATGCAAGAAACAAAAGCAATGCAGCTAGAAATACGTATCACTGACAGGGGCAAATTAAATTGCATTTTCTTTTTACTAAAGCACACTGTGTTTTGTTCAGAGTATCAATAGAACCACAGAAATACACTTTTTATAGCTCAAGCATTTTCATACTTCTTAAGTTTTTGTAGTCCTAGCAGCTAACCCTATTATGATAACAATACAGAACATATCCGGTAATAGAGGGCTATTTCATTGTAGATTGCAAAAGTAAGGTGTTTAAGGCTTTATCTTGTAGCATCAGGTCCCATCTAGTCATGCCAGGGAATGTTCTGCAACATGCAAATTTTATTAGTAGTGCTTTCAATTATAAAGTTACACCTTATCAGAAAGGCAAATCTGCCTCCTCCTGTAGATGTAAACTTTTCATTATTGAGTAGGGTTGGGTCAAACTGTAAAATGAGAGGATGCAGGATGTTCTAAATTCCTGTTAATGAAGTTTGGGATTCTTTCCCTTTTTTTTTCAAAAAAAAAAAAAGAAAACCACCCTGATTTTTTGGAACTGTATTTGTGCAAAATATAGTTCCCATACTATTATTTCTTATGAATTAGGAGAAGAATGTGTATATATTTTTAACTGCCAAAAGCTCTCGCAAGTCTGCGGGTGGTGGGGTTTTGTGTGCAGTTTTCTATTTTAAAGTGGATTTCCATTCAGCGCTTTTTACTCTTCTTTGCAAATACAGTACAGTAGTGTCTTAAAGCTTGTCCCTTCACATTCCTTGGAATGAAACCTCGCTTGTCCTTTCACATTCCTTGGAATGAAACCTTGGAAAGAACAAAGAACTTGACTTCATCAAGGAAAGGGCAGCGCCTTCTTGGAAGGACATACAGACAATTAAGAGATTAAACTAACAGGATCAGAAGATCAGCTGTAAGCATGCAGAAGGGAGAAAGAACATGCAAGACTACCTGCTATCAACACATGCCGTGTCTGGAACTTAATTAATTTTAAGAACTCTGCTAATACCAGAGGATGTTTAATAGTGCCTCAGATGAATGATTGGTTGCGAAAGGCAGCCTTTTCGTGATTACTTCTAATACCTAAAATGATGGAGGTCTGGTGTACAGCTGTGCTTTTTATACAGCCTGATAGACATTAGAACTGCTTTTGCACCTACCAGCTTAGTAAAGGACCAGGGCAATACTGTGTTAAACAATACAGAAGACTTGTTGAGTAGCAGATCCCAGAAAACTTTAAGCAAGTTTTGAGATGACCCAGCATTCAGAGTATTCTTACCCTGTTTAAAAGCATTGTCATACATTTTACAGAATGTCAGGGTATTCTGAGCTACTTTCAGTAAAACATTCAAAATTAATGTTTTCATAGGTCAAATTATCTTAAGTACCCTAAATGTTCCCCTGCAGAGACAATCTAATGCATGAGTTCTCATGCAAAGCCAGTGCATGTGTTAACTCAGACCTCTGAGTGCCATCACATTCAGAGAAAAACTTGAAGAATCAGACCTGAACAGGTTATCTTTAAAAACAAGAATATTTCTAAATCTCAAGAAAGGAAAGAAAATATGCTTTTGAATACTGTTACTAACAGCATAAGAAGCAAAATACGGTGTCATCTAGAGCATAAGCATTTGGATGATTCAGAATAATTTCAGTCCTCAAATTCATTTCATGCATAAAACAAGCACACTCATTTGTCATCTATTGAAAATGCAAATTTTTGTTCCAGAGCTAGTCAGACTTTGAATTCCTGAGTCCAATTGGAAAAATTAAGTCTTTAATTCAAAATTCTCCCAAATTAGGCATTAATTATTGTGATTTGGACATGAAATTCTGATTCAGGTACTAACCTTGAAATTCACATTCTGAATTCAGTTTTGACCACAAAATAAATCTTGACCCTAACTTTATGTTATCCTGCGCATGTGCATTTTATAAAATAATGAGATGTTTGACAAATGACATGTTAGCTTTGTAGCATTACCTATCTGATCAAGTTTCAGGAAGGGGTATGACACCTGGCTATCTAGTCAGCTGCAATAAAGCCATACCCTGTGATCCTTAAATTCAGAAACACACAGAATGTTCCTGTTAAGCAAATCTTCCTGCAGGATTTGCTACAAATCTGTGCTGGTTAAAAGTATGTACTGGTTACACAATTTAAAGTTACCCTATTAAGAAAAGAATTACATTAAATCAATGTCAAAGAAGGTTTACTCAGTTCCCGCAGGAATTCCATTTATAGTCTAATTTCCACAATCTAAGTGAAATTAATTGTGTAGTCCCAATTTAATTTTAGGTTTACAGGTCAGTTTTGGCACCTACATCTAATGTAAGTAATACATTACATGAAATTCTGATGAATTAAAGGTGCGAGACTTAAATCAGTAATGATCAGCAGCTTTCCTCACAGAACACCCAGGCACAATGAGAAGAGTGTAGGATCAGAGACTCCTATGAAAATAGCTATTAAATTTCTCTTATGAAATATATTAAAAAGGTGCGGGGGACGACGACACGACACCCAAACCCTTCTGCAGAGTATTACGGCTGCAGGACAGAACATACTTCCAAAAGTGCAGTTCAGGAAGGGTGGGCCCTTGCACATTTTGTTCAAAATACTGCGTTCTCCTTTGATCTCCAAAAAAGCTCAGACCTAAGAGTCTGAAGGGAGGTTCTTGGATTCCTGTTTATGCTGGACCATTCTAATCAGTAGCATTCACCACTCTTCCATTAAGTGCTTCTGAATTTCAAGCCAACTGACCTACAAACCCGGCCCTTCTTGCCTGCTCCAGGGAGGGAGAATGGACACAAGGAGCTCTGTCAGACCTAATGCTCTCTTAGGCACCAGCCTCATAAAACAGGAGATGTAGCATGGACATCTATACGTGTAGATGGTAGAAAAGAACATGAAGCAGAAAGCCATTATTGGTTGTACTCATATAAAATACGGCACAGACATCCATTCCGTGCTAGAGGAATTTTGTAGTTACAGTTCCCTTTTCAAAAAACTGTGTCTCTTTTCCATGTCAATGTATTAAATATCCACGGCAACAGCAGGGGACAGCCAATCGATTATATATGGTAGGTGGTGAAAACAACAGTAAAGTAAATGGTGAATAATAGGACAACAAAATAAAAAAACACTTTTGCTGTATTATCTTTCAGTTGGGTGACAGGAGCTGACCAGCCATAACTGAGATATTTACATAACTGGTAGCTATGTCATAATTTTTTTCTTACCTTTGATACCATGTTTTTGACTATGCCATGTTAAAAAAACCCCCAACAAACAAAGCAACAAACCAACATTGAAACAGCAAGGTTAAGCCTGTCTGTGAAAGCCCATCTATTATTCTAAAAGCTACTTATTAATACACAAAATCCTTTTCAAAGAAGAAAAAACAAAACTTGTGACTGTGTTTGAATTTTGCTGTCACAAGTGACCACTTAACTGCTCCTCCACATCCCTAGCTCTGTTTTGTCTACACACAGACCAGTTCTCAGGTTGCCTCCCTAGTGTAACAACCATGATCACCTCTGCAGACCTGGGACAGGCCCAGACCTCACAGTTTTAGTCTCTTGTGAAGTAATGACTGTAAGTACTGACCACAAAACACTTAGTTAGCACTAAACCATTCAAGACAAAATAGGTCTTAAAACCAATAAACCAGTCAACACACTTGCCTTTCCTTCTGTATGACTTACCATTCCACTGCTGCAGAGAGGAAGGCCCAGCTTCTTCCAGCCTCTTCTGCAACGTCTGCCTCTGTTTGAATTATTTCTTCCATCAGTCCCTGCCAACTTTATCCTCCTCTGATTTTTATTCTCAGCCTGACAAACCAGCTGTGTCCCTCAGAACTGGAACTATCTTTCTTGTCATTACCACCTTGTGGGTTTAGTCACATATAGCTGAAGCAGGGGAAACACTGAATTGCCTTTTATTCCTTCATCAGCTAGCTCCCTATTATGGTAGATCAATACATCTATACAGGAAAGTAATATAAAGTAGCATAACCCATTGCATAGTAACGTCCTGTCATCAACCTGCCCACATACAGGGTTCATAAAATTATGACAACTTGGTACTCTTCAGCTATTACACTGGCTACACTGGCAAAAATCAATTACTCCTTCTCAAAAAAAAAAAAAAAATCACTAAGCAATAAAAGGGCCAAGACCTGTCAGATGATTCAAGAAAGAAGACTTCAGCCTCCAGTTTCTGTTGTACTAAGCACAATGCAAATTAAAGATCAATGTGACGAAAGCAGAGCTCATACAAGTAAGCCAATCTTCTGTACACTACTAAGCCACACTAAAAAGCCTTTTAATCCCTTGTATCTGGCAATGCCTGCTGTTCTGAACCCGAGAGTGTTATTTCATTCAGACTTTGTCAATGAAATCTTTTTAAAGCCAAGCATGGCCACCTAATTTTCATGTCTTCTAAGTCTTTACCAATTCACAGAGCTGCCCAAGTCCTGCAGGCCACCTTTGGACTCAGCAGCCCTGTGAAATAAATGGGTATGCACAGATTCTCTTTGATAGAGATATGCAAAAGGCTTATGAGGAAATACCCACCCCAAACATCACTGAAGGAAAAGTTTCCTCCTAAACCACACAGATACATCTACTGGACCTTTAAAGCATTCAAGCTGATCTCAATTCTACTCAAATTAGTGGACCCAAGAGACTCTGCCGTCAAGGCTGCCTTCCAGAATAAGACTGTGTGTCAAGTAACAAGCATGGTATACACAGACTATGAGTGATCTTGAACCTAGCCAGGCCAGGTGTCCTTCTGAAGCAACAACACGGTCTGTAGGAAGGTTCTAACAGGCAGCTGCTCAAAAAAATGCCTCTTCCGTGGTGAAAATGACCAGTTAAAGTGGTGTTTTCTACATTATTTTTTCAAATAGTAAAAGTCATGTCTCTCTTCATATATGATATGAATGATGCATTTCATATGCATCATGCATTTCATATGCAGAACACCCAGGGCTACTACTGGAGGAAAATGACATGTGGCAAGATGGCCTTGGAGACTGTCCACAAGCAACACCTGCTACATGACAATAGTTACTGGTTTTGCCCCTTGGTAAGAGCTCAGATAATATTTATATTATAGCAGTTACTAAGATCTTAGGTGGCCACATCAGCTGCTAGGAATTACCATGGGTTAAGGCTTAGTTGTGTTTCTGGTGTGGGCAACGGGGAGGAAGGCTGGTGGAGGAGCCACAGCAGGAACTGTCCAAATCAAGGATCCCTCCACTTTGTCCGTGTGGACTGGTGCAAATCAAACAGAGCATCGTGGTGGGCAGCAGCGTCTAAGAATGGAAAAGATTATTAGGTCATTTAACAGCTCTTCTAGCCGGGGGTGAGACCTCCATTTTCTAAAATGAAATCTTTCAAACCCTAATTAAATATAGTCAATCTTCATTAAAAATAAAGTAGGTTAATATTTATGAGAGGCATTCCTCGTGCTACGTATCTCACCGCCTCATTTAAGGATGTATCTGGAACTACTTCGGAATACAATTGAGCTAGCTTCTTCTGTCCATCGTTTTTTATTTTTCTGAGTCCTCTGAAATCACTCCTATTTATAGTTTTGCAGACGAGTTGCTGGCAGTGAGCCAAAATTGTTTAGGCCCAAAACATGACCTTCCTTTTAACTGCTGTAATCTGACTCAAGTAAACAGAATTTCCTTCACACTGCTTCTGTGAGGAGGGAAGGGTGGAGAACTGCCACATTTTTGACACACCCAAAGATGAGTATCTGCCCCTTTCCTCAAGCCTGGCTCTATGGCAAGGGTTTCCCCCCGCCCCCCAAAAGTGTGCATCCTGTTAACCCTCCACTTTCACATCTGTAGTCATCCAGCTCATGTTGCGCTCTACAACTCTGTACAGAAGGCCAAGGGTTCCTCTAGCTAATGGGTGAGAATATGCACAAATAAACTTGTCTGAAACTCTTTAGATGTATGGAGTCCATTAGATGGGCTCTGTTTGTGCCAGGACGTTGTTGGATCTGGCCTGTAAGTGAGCAGCCTGGTCCAATTTTCATTTATTTCAAGGTCACTTAATACCCCTGCAGTAGTATGAACGTAGCAGGATGTTAACGTAACTGTAAATTGGGACAAACATATTCCTGGATTTCTGCAGCCTGCTAAATGCATTTTAAGTGCCTAGAATTAAGAGGATAACTTAAACAGGAAAGTCTGATTGAAAGGAGCAAATGAATGCTATGGTTTAGCGGCAGTTTAAACCGCAGGAAAAGATGTAACAAATGTAAAATGTGGTTTCAACCCGGACTATTCAGGATTATGTCGATGGAGATACAGTGTAACAGGAGAGAATCTGATTTGTGTGGGACAAATATTCTCATCACCATCATTTACCAAACTGCGCATTCCCTTTGGAAGCATCCCAGGCAGTATTAAACCATCTTCTTATAACTTGTTCTAGCCCAATCAGTAGTTTTATTATTGTCTAATGGCATTTGCTTGAACGCCTGAGATTTACTGAGCGTAACATCTTGCTTTTGACAAGAACTGTCAAAGTTCCTGGTGTGCTGCAGAATGGGACCGGGTCAGAGGAGGAAGGGTTTTTAGCAGTTGGCGTCAGTCTGTTTACATTTCCCTTGCTAAATTCTAACAAATGGTAACCAGTCCTCAAAAACAACGACGGAAACGTGAGAGAAACATCGCGAATCCGTTTTCATTGGTTTAAAAAAATGGGTCAAGACGAGTGCTGAGGTAAATAAAGCCGCAGCAGTACCCCACGGGGTGTTTGCAGCCCCCGTTACGGCTGGCGAGAGGTCGGGCTTTTCATCGGGCCGGGGGCAGAGCCGGCCCG